TTGGTTCACTAACGATGTTCGAGAACATTTCATTCACATAATGACTACGTTTTCTGATTGGAGTGTTAATGATTGGTTCACTAACGATGTTCGAGAACATTTCATTCACATAATGACAACGTTTTCTGATTGGAGTTTTAATCATTGGTCCATTAACGATTTTCGAGGACATTTCATGAAATAGTTTATATATATATATAGGTATTGACGATAATCAGGATCAATTCATTGCACTTGCATTGTTCAGCAAAGATAAGTAGCAAAAACACAGTTTGTGCTCAGTTCAACATTTTTATTCATAATAACATATATCACTTTTCATGCGTATCGTAATTTTAGAAATATTATTCCACTCCTTCAACTTTTTTAACATAAAGATTGTCGTTTTTTTTTTAAAAATACATTCTTGTGGGTATTCGTTATGGATGATCAATCGACACCGATCTCATCAATCGGTGCTAACAACAATAATGATAATAATGACGACCGTAAGACAAGAGATTATAATATCACCAGAATTGAAATTTCTTTTTCTTTTAATTCGAAGTTCCCTTATCCTCACGTATCAATTATCTTGCAGGTACGACTGTAGGTCTTTACCATCAACATTTAGGTCGTTCAAATTTACCTATCAGTCAAAGCAATCTAGTTCAACCCCATCAGTATTCATATTCCCAGTATATGAATAAAGGTATAGATATAAGAAAATTGGAGCAGATGACAGAGAAAACCCTTAGAATTTTCTTTAAAATAAACTTTATATTTTTCTAAATTAGATAAAAAAACAATTGCAAAAGAAAACCTTTTTGACTTACAAGGGAAAACAACAGCTGCTCGTCGTAAAAAAAACCACTGTTGTATGAATGTTAAGTATTTTGCAATTACATGTTGGACTAATATTACCAGTAAGAACATCATGAAATAAGAAAAAATTTTGCTTGTTTCTCTTTTGTTTACATACCATCGTAGTTTTTTTCTTTATGCTCTATTTGTATAGAAGAACAACTTCTGAAAAATATTATTGAAGAATTTGACGAAAATAATTTGCAGTACGTTTGTGTGTCGAGTGAGGTAGCAGGTGTTCCACCAAAACAACACCTTCACATACAAATTATTTTGTTTAAAGCTGTAAAGAAAAACTGGTTTTTAGATAAGTATACTAGTATGTCGTCTAGGTTGATGCTTGTTTGATATTGATTGTTTGTTCTCGTTCATAATAGATAAACATTGTAACTATCAGGTGACAAAAAATAATGTAGCTTGGAATGCATACATCCAAAAAGGTAGATGAATTCTTGTAGACACATCGATCAATGAAACGAATGAAAAATTTCGTGATTTGAAAGAATGTAGTAAAATGTTCATGTTTTTTCATTTGTCTAGAGGGAAACTTTGTTGAATTTCGTTCCTTTCCACATCCAAGTAAAGCTCCTGATCAATCACGATCAGGAACACCTGATATTCAATCAAATAAGAATGGCAAACGTGCCATTGAATCTGCTTGTTTACCACCTCCTAAACGACTTACGGTCCGGGCTGAAGCGGCAGAGCGCCGGGATATTAATAACCAAATTGCCGATACAGCTTTAACCATTGCCGAAGAAGATGTTCCTGAGGCAATGAGATACGTTCGTAAAAAAATGCCAAAGGAATTTATGTACCGTAGTACGAAGTTAGTTATTTATTTGAGAAAATCTCTCACATTTTTTTTATCACAAAACATTATATATTATGCTTTTTCTCTTATTTTCAAAGTTTTCACGAGTCTTTTAAATACGTGAACAATGAGGCCCAGGAACTAAAACAAGATCCAGTAAAGGAATATATGTGGGATCTCTCGTTTCCTGATTGTACCAAGGAGCTCCGTATGTTTGCTCTCATTAAAATTTAAATTGTTTTCGTTCAATTTCAGTTCTTTTGTCACTTACTTACCTCTAGATACTGCCGTGACAAATTGGTTAAATGAGAATTTTCGTAATCCTCATCGACCAAAATGTCTTGTTATCATAGGTCCTTCAGGAGTTGGTATGATTGATCACAAACATAAAAAAATATTTTTCTTAAAAGATAATAATAAGATATTCCATTACTTACAATTTTTAGGAAAAACTTCCTTTGCTTTATCCTTACCTGGAAAGGTATGTCATTTTAAGGGTCGTTGGTGTTTAAAATCATGGCACAAAAAGGCACGCTATCTTGTTTTTGATGACATCCCGTGGGATGAGTGGGAGAACTTGAATTTCCCATCTAAAAAAGATATGTTGACTGCTAATGGAAAAGTTGCCGTAAGACTGTTGCACTTTTTTGAAGATAAATTCGTTGAATGTTTGCATGTTGTTTATCTTTGTAATAATTACAGGTCACAGACAAATATGAACGTACTGTTAAGATTGACGTCAAGGTTCCATCGATTGTTTTGTTGAATCCTGGTGACGATGGATCGTTGTCTAAAGAACCCGTCACCAGGCAGCAAATAGCTGATGCTGATTATTGGTCTAGACGAGCAGTAGTCTACAGAATGGGTAAACATGAAATTCATTAAACAATCATAATAATGATGATAGTTTAAGATAGCGATGACAGAGCAGCGTTTTTTGTTTTGTTTTTTTCATAATTCTAGGCGAACATGAGCATTTCCATAAGGCTCCATCAGCATCAGCGTCAGGTACAATGGACGCACCTATTGTTAACCATCATCGTCCACTACTAGGTCATCCAGATGAATTTGCAGTAGCACAACGTGAGTGGCTCGACGCACAAAATAAACGTCGAGCAGCAGTAGTGAGTGATCCGTTAGTTCGATCATCAGGTATGGATGTAGAGGTGCTTTCCGATGATTCCGATATCGAAATGTTGTAGTTAATAGTAGAATTGAATTTTTTTCATTCCTTGTTTTCGCTTATGTGAACGTGTGAGTGTGAGTGAGTGAGTGTGTGAGTGTGAGTGAGTGAGTGAGTGTGTGTGTGTGTGTGTATGTATATATGTGTTGTCTGTGTGTATGTGTGTGTGAGTGTGTGTGCATATGCACCCTATGTGAAATTTTATCGAACCGTTTTGCGTCCTATATTTTACTCACGTTTGTGTAAAAATGTCATTTATCGTTTATTTAGTCGTATTCGTCTCAGTGAGACTTTTTTATGTTTAATTATTTTATGAAATAATGATGATTCGATGATTGAAGACTGATATTGTTTTTTTTACTACTACATAGTTTCATGAACCGAGAAGTCACGTCATTAGAGTTACAAAGTAGAATATGAATGAATTTTCATATCCGTATACGTTTTTTCGTTATTATACCGTGAATCTAAGTACGAGTGCAAAAGATATATCTTTAATAGTATTATCTAGTTCTTTTGACAGCCTTCAATTGTTTCCTTCGTTAAGCTGAACTAGTAAAGTGAATCTACTGGCAGTGACATAAACGAAACATAGAAACTATCATACGAGCAGCGTAGAGAAGAGACTTTCTCCAATGTTTCTGTTTTTGAGTCAACTTTTACACAACATCTTCTAATTATTTACAGATTCTCTACAATTTATTGTGAGCTTCATCCCAGGTATAACTTTACTGAAGTAGATCTTTCAAATCAATAGTATTCGACCAAGTTTAGTGTAGTAAGAGCATGAAGAACTATATTACCTGGAAAGTGAATTGTTGACGATATTGTTATATATTAATAAACCAACTTCCACAGAAAACATTGATTCGACATAATAATTTTGCGAACACAGAAAAGGTTTTGTTCATAATCCGTTGTATATTGCCGTGATGATCGGTATGGTTTTGCATTGATTTCTTCTCGTTTTTTGTCGTATACAAGGATCTTCTTTTGACGTTGCCTTTAAGACAAGCGGACCATTTTTTTCCACGTAAAAATTACATAACCGATACATTGTATCATGCTTAATGCATATCAGAGACCTGCGTAATTCTGATTTCATAGTAATAATACAGTGTCAATGTATCCATTTCAGGAGTAAACTATGACATGAAATGTATTGTAAGAAACTGTGATATATATATCTCTAAATGTTATGGGACCATTTATAAAGTTCTCCATCGATCTTACGATTATTAGTAGCGACTTCTCGGGAAGGAAATTTGCGGTGGTATGTTGGCGTTCAGCTTGGTTGTCTTGTCATTTGCTAGTGTTTTCTCTTTCTCATCCCAGATTGACTGATAGAGAGGAAAAGAACTAACGAAGCACTTTGTTGCTCCTTTTTTTTTTTTGTTTCATGCTGACCGATGCTCTACAGATAACACAGGTTTTCAACAAAATTTTTACTGTCATTGAAATAACGCTCCCATAGCTCAACCGTTTCAACTCCGACTACTCTCAATCGACTAACCCTTGTCATAAGAACATTTCTACTAGGAAACACGTTTCGATGATTAAGTATTCTGATTTATGCGAAATTCTCATGTTTGAGAAACGATGAAAGATTTTTGAACAAAAATGAAAAGTAAACAATTTTTTTATTTTGTTTCTAATTAAAACCAATCTCAGGTGATCAGCTTGGATGTAGTATAAATCGACTAGCCACGAACGGCAGTGCATTTTACCTGTTAAACACTTTTTTCATAGATGTTCTGTTCGCATTCATTTCTATATGTCTTGTAATCGACATGTTGCATTGTCTCCCGCACGATATGAAAGCTCTCCAACACAGAAGTAATACGAATCGGCATCGATCGAATGTTTTAACATATCATAGTGAACAACAGTCGCTTAAGTTCTGTGTGTGATCCTAATTTTTTGAGTGCACTGTACTTAGCAATTCCGCGAAAACTGAAACTTTCTCATATTGTCAGCTCATAAGACAAATTTTGAAATCGCTTACGAAACCCTCTCAACAAAGAACATAGAACATTTAGTTTTAAAAAAAGCAGTGTGCACAGAATGAGAGCTTCATTCACCCAAATGCAATCAGAAAACACATTGAGGTAGAATATTAAAAGAAAACTGTTCGATTTATTTTAGATTTTAAAAGAATAAACACTAACAACTGGGTACTGATGAATATGAAAAAACAAATAAATGAAAACAGAAACAAGCAACAGAAACAAACATAGAAACAAAAATTCAAAAAAAGTGGCACATTAAAAAAAGAATAGAAAAACAAAAGAGATGCGTGCTAGTGTTCATATAAAAATACCAGTTACGGAAAAAGAGCCACACCTTGGAAGTTACCAGCCTAATGAGCCTAATTCCCATTTCGATTTTTGGCCACGAACATGTATAAAAGTGCCACACAATAGATTACGTGTTATCGAGGACGGTCTTTTTTCTTTTATCTATCTTTATGGATCGTCTCCGTTGTTTAGACGTTGTTCATATATCACCGTCTCTATTTCTTGTCCTTTGCAATTGTTTTTTTCTTTGATTGTTTCTTTCTTCTACTTTCAGAAAAAAATGTAATTATCAAAAGATGACGGCATATTTTAGAAAACCATAAGAAATGGTTCCATCGACCGTTAACACAGTTCGTAGGTCGTTGTAAATAATAATAGTGTTGAATGCCATTACTTCTTCCTACAGGGTGGCGGCGGTGAAAAGCAAAACATTGTTCTGGTGTATCATCCTCGTCTGAGAGCGTAGAGTTCTTCTTCTTGTATGAGTCGTTGTATATTTATGAAGAAGTAGGAGACGAACCGGTCTGGTTTTAACTTCATCCTTCATATATGGTAATGTCACCGGCGGCTCTTGTTTGTTAGTTAATTTCACTATTTTCAATGCCACGCTATTTTCTAGAAAAAAAAAACAGAAAAATATTAGAAGGTTCAAACTATATGTTGTTACAAAGGAAAGAAAATAAAAATTTGCAACAGAAACAAACTTACATCGAAAAGGAGATACAGTGTTGTTGATAAAAAAAACAGGAACAGAAAGACGGTATGGGTATGGGTGTGGGTGGTAACTTAAAGATCTGTTTAATTGTTGTAGACGGCATATTTTACAAAGGCAGAAGAAATGGTGCCATCACTCGTTCAGGTAGTTTACACGTCGTTGTGGATAATAACAGTGTTGAATGCCAGTACTTCTTCCCAACGGGTGATGGCGCGGAAAGCGAATGCATTGTAATGGTGTATCTTCGTCGTCGGAGAACGAACAGTTCTTGTTCTAATATTAGTCGTTGCATATTTATAAAGAAGTAGGAGGCGAACCGGTCTGGTTTTAACTTCATCCTTCATATATGGTAATGTCATCAGCGGTTCTTGTTTGTTACTTAATTTCATTGTTTTCAATGCCACCCTCACTTTCTAGAAAAAAAAAAACAGAAAAAAGTGTTAGACGGTTCAAAGTATATGTTGTTACAAAGGGAAGAAAAGAAAATTCAGCAGGAGAAACAAACTTACATCGAAAAGGACATATAGTGATGTTGATAAAAAAACAGGAACAGAAAGAGGATGTGGGTGTGGGTGGTAACTTAAAGATCTTTTCAATCGATTTAAACGACATATTTTAGAAAACCAGAAGAAATCTTGCCATCAATCGTTAAGGTAGGTTATACGTCGTTGTGAATAATAACAGTGTTGAATGCTCTTCCTTCTTCCCGTAACATGAGGGCGGCGAAAAGGAAACATTTGTTTCGGTGTACCGTCATCGTCGGAGAACGAGCAGATCTTCTTCAAGTATTGGTCGTTGCGTATTTATAAAGAAGTAGAAGGAGAACCGGTCTGGTTTTAACTTCATCCTTCATATATGGTAATGTCACCAGCGGTTCTTGTTTGTTAGTTAATTTCATTGTTTTCAATGCCACCCTCACTTTCTAGAATAAAATAAAAAAGAAAAATAACCATCAAGTTATGTATGCATTGACTACCGGGCACATGAACGATTGGAGCTAGCAGAGTTGATGAAGATTTCTATCGAATGGAAAGTATTCATCTCACTTTAATGAACAAGAAAGCAAGGGAATAAACTCGATGTAGGCCATCGTTGAAAATAAAATAGCGTAAACACTTGAAAATATAAGTCATATTCTGGTAGAAACTATACTTTACAAAAAAAAAAGAGTTGAGAAATATACTCACGAAAAAACCAACATGATGGTTGAGATGTAACACAAACGAGTAACCGTGCACCTTACACTGTACCTTTCTTTCCTCTAACGTACTGTCTGAAGATTTTAACACGTCAACTACAAGAGCAACATAGATGATCAATATTATATACATAGGAACGTTACAAGGAATATCCTGATATTGTTCTCTTGTTCCTATCTCTTAAAAAGACTTACTGTTTCATAGAGTTATCGTCCTACAACGTTCCACTCTCATAAAGTCTTTTCTTATAGTCCTTCTCGATTATAGCCTTGGTTCCGTACTTCTTTATATTTTTACTTCTTAATAGTCATACGTCTTATCACCTGATTCTATTATGGCCCTACTCACTACTAGCCTTTATGTTTATTAGCCTCATGATATTGCAATCTCTTCCTCTAATAACCTTACTCCAATATTGTCTTGCCAATCACTAGTCTACTGAATTTCTAGGGTATGCTTTTCTAGCCGATTGTTTATATAGGTGTTCCCCATACGAACACTTCGGACTCGTTATGTTTCTGTGTGACAGATTTTCCACTTACTCGCCTTACCCTCATATTCTCACACGCTTATAGTCTCATCCCCTTATAGCCTTCCAGCGTAACCACTGTGAGCTCTATTGTAGTCATCTGTTATTGACTTACCCGTTTTAATTTTTGTTAAGCTTTCACTTCAACCCTTTGACCCAACACGACGCAGTACAAACACTGAACCTTCTCACCGTATATGTAAAATAGAACATGGGTATACAGCATGACTATTTTTCTACACTAATCAATTAGTCGTGGCTGGAAGATTGTCCTGTCAAAAAGGTTTTTCCTAACAAAATTAAAGCTAACACAGACATACGAAAGTGTTCAACGCTTGATGTTCTCATGCTAGACTTTTTACAGCACCTTATAATCAAAACGTGTTTCCATCGAATAATCAGTTTGAAAGACTCGTAGGTACTGAAACAGTTCATAGTTATAACAGGTTCTTGGAAGAAACTGATCTCTACGATTAGAAAAATTTTAAGAATGTGTAATCGTAGACACCTTGTGATGGGAAAAGTCCTCCTGTATTCTACAAAGTATTAATTTTTGTGTTGACTATTTTATTTAAGCATATGAAAAGATCTCAAAGACTGCTACAGACGGTGTAGCATTCACCTGTTTCGCTCGTATCTCAATTATCTTACCCTAGTAAGTCCTTCCCATTCACCAAATCTCAATGAGGTAAATGGAACAATTAAAGCAAACAGCGAATATCCGGTTTTGGTAAACGGTCAGCCATTTGTGAGAGAAAAAAAAGAGAAATGATTTAATTAGGCGAGATCATCTGTATATATACCAGACGAGAGAGAGAGAGATTAATTTGTCGACGACGGACTGATAGCCGTCAGACTAAGCGAGAGAAAATACCCCTATCGGTCAAAGGTTAAAAAAACATTCCTACCGCCGGCGATGACCGACAGAACGAGATAAAAATATTATTGATCGCTCAGTGAACCAATCAGAATTTTAGCACGATAGAGGGCGCTCGTGTATGACCCTTTTTTTTGGAAAATTAAATAAATTTCTAGATAATTTACAGAACAATTATTTAAAATATTCATATACAATTCTGGTAAAAATTAGTTTCAAGGGAAATTTTCTAGAATTGATTTTTTTATTATTTCATCGACTTCTTCTCATATTGAATCAAAATAAATGTTAATATTTAAAAGTAAGTTCATGAAAGAGCCACAAGAATTTAAAAGAAAAAGCAAACTCCATATATTATTGCAATGAAGTTGTTTATCTCCTTTTTTTAGGAAAACCTTTAAAAATAATTAAGTTTCAATTTTCTTTTTTTGTTCTTTATAGAAGATCAGTATCTATTTCAGAAAACAAAAGTGAATCAAAAGTTGACAATTATTTTATATTTTATTCTTTGGAAAAATTTTTATTTAGTTATTCTGTTGCGGAACCTGAACGAACATTCTTATTTCTTTTTTCAACCCTCTCTAACTCTGTTTCTATTTTTTTTAAAAAAAAAATAAATATGTGACTATGTTTCACATTTTATTGTTCACATAGGAAACAAGGAAAAAAAAACAAACTTGTAGAAACTACAAAACAAAAAGAACGAACATAAGGAAAAGCACCAAAAAAATAAAGCCAACAAAAAGACGAAACCACCAAAACAATATGTCAGCTATCGATGCCACCATAAATTCAATTCTTGTTAATCTGTAGTTGAAAAAAAAAGGAGAATGTGCTTATGTTTGATATACAATTGACTTACGCATTTGTTTCAATAGGAGGAGGAGGAGGAGGAGGAGGAGGAGGATTGTTGGTGAGGATGATAATGATGAAGATGTGTTGTTGTATGATGATATGTTGTTGATGTTGTTGTGGCTGTAATCGTCGATGTTGTTGACGATTATATTGATTACGATAACCTTAAATGAAATTCGTAGAAACATATTCAACAGTGTTTTACAACATACGACGATGAGCAAGTGAAGGCATTGAGCACGAAAAGAAAGAGCAGAACGACGTTTCTGAAGTTGGAAAAAAAAAAAGAAAATGTTCAAATTTAAAAATAATAAACTATTAATAGCACGAAAATATCAGTTTCTCATTTTCTCGAGGCATGAACGAAAAAAAGCGGGTATTTTCAAAGTATCCAATGCAAAAAAAGATGAAAATAGATGGCGTTCACGTACAGACATCTTGGGACATATTTGACTAAACCGGATGCATTGACTTATTTTTTGTCTATTTTTTTTTTGCTAAATAAAAACCACGTTTGCTTCGTTTTGAAATCATAATCTTTACGAAATCTTAATACTGTCTTTCTTTTTCCGTTCATGCAAATAAACACTTTTCTACTGGGGGTCATTATTACTTTTATTAATTCAAAAAGTGTTTCTGGACGAATTTGTTTAATGTGTCATCCTAATTCGATAGATTTTATTAGAAATATTTTTTTTTCTTCTCATATAGATAGTATTAACATATAACAATAAAAAAGCAAACATAACAACCAATTCAACAATTTGTACATTTAACAACAATTAGTACGCAAAAAGCATTACAAAAAAAAGAGAATGTTCTAATTTCGATCAAAAGAAATATTCCATTCAAATCCTTGAAATTCACTAAGAAAACATGATGCTCTCTCCACATTAATATATAGTAACTGAATTTGTGGAGAATAGAAGTAATGTGTAAAACTCATATAATGTCATTCAACTAAATATGTGGGGTACATTATTGAGAGAGCACGACACGAATTTTAAAAAAAAGAGCAGACATAAGACCGTTAGAAAGAGGACGAAAAAAAAAAACGAACTAGATGGGAAACCGTTAGTGTGAGAATGTAGTAAGATGAACCTGGATAAACCAATAGGACAACCGACAGTTAACAGATAGGAAGAGAACGAAAAAAAAAAAGAAATATATAATAATTGTGATTTTCTGTTCGTTCATTCATAAAAGTTCTAACGTCTTATTACATATATCAAAGTAAGTAAATATCACTAATACTTTCACAGTATTAAATAACCATCTACATGACCAGATCGTTAATTATATTGAATTGAAGCTTTGCTTGAATATATCTTCAAAAATATAAATTTTAAATTTTTTCTTTCAACTACTTTCTGTTCTTATGTGCTTTGAGGCATCAAATTTTTTTTTTTTTTTTTTTTTTTCTTTTTTTTTAGTCATGTCAACTCCTAAATTTCTTTCTAATGAATCATCATCAGCATCACATGATAATGAACATGATTATCATATCACTGATGATGTAAAAGTAAAAGTTAATGATATTTTACAAAGTAGTAAAAATCAATTGTTTTTTGATAAAAATTTATCATTTGATCAAATGATGTACCTACTCAATCATCGTAATTCAATCGAAAGTGGTGCAATTGTTTTTATCATCAATCAAATTAATGAATTAATTAAAGATGAACATATTAAACAAGTCTTTTTAAATAATACTCAAAGATTTTCTGGTGGTTTAGATCTTATTAATCGTGATACTGATGTTACTCGTCGTCACCTTTTCTTTGGTGCCTATTTTAATGATGATGATGATGATGATGATGATGATGAATTAGCAATTACTGAGGATGATTCAATTGATGGTGCATCAATATTTGATGATAGTTTCGAGGACCTCGAAAATGCTTTACTTGATCAACTTGATTTTGAACGTTTTTGTGTTGTTTGTCGTTATCGTCCACCAAGTGATGGTGAAGAAGAACATTAGATTTAATTCGTTGTTGTTTTTTTTTCTTGTTGTTGTTACATAAGTAAATACTTATAGTGAATTTGAAGTACATGAAAATTGATATTATAGAATTATCATCAGCACATTACATGAGAAGGATCATAAAATAATTCTTGAGATTTATCTTTGCATGAGTCTTCGTATGAATTGATATAAATATGGACTGTATTATATAGATTAGTGCATTGAATGATCTGCACGGTTAATATTGGATTTATGAATCTTTCTGCTTTTTTTTTCTTGATTTTTTTTTCTACTGAAGTACAAAGAAGTTGTTTAGCTGTCGGAATTTATTATTGGACAAAATTTCTCATGAATTATATATAGAAATATGATTATGCGACATTTCTTTATAAGCTTTTTTTTAAATTTTTTCATTTCTATCGGTGCCAATACTATATAGTCTCTAAAGTTCTTTGACGCTTCTAGTCATTTTTCAAAAAGTATTAAATCGTTCTTCTGTTTTTCTCTCAATGCCATTATTCTTTTCACTACAGTACATATATATCAAACGTGTCAACGTCACTTCTCAGATAACGTAAACCCAAACATATCAAATGCCTGTTTAGCAGCTGTTATACAAATAATGAAGCCATTATTAGCATGTTTTATTAAGATTCTTTGAGGACTGATTGATATTCTTTGAGCGGTTATATGATATCTGTAAGTTGCGATAATATTCCAATATAAATCAGAAAATTTTTGAGATAATTGCACGCATTTGTTTCAATATAAAACACATCCAGTACATTGGAAAAAAAAGACAATCTGCTAGATAGATAATTTCTTTAAGATACTTAAGAATTTGGTTTAGCTAGAAGTACAATGATATGTAAGGTATTCTTTTTTTGAGATCACATAATTTTAACTGAATTTATTGGTAATACAATTGTTTCAATTGAATCAAATATGAAAAAACAATATATGGTTTCATTCATGCTTTTATATAGTTCAATTTTGGTGAACTTATACAGATGAACAGTCAAAATAAACAGCAAGGATAATGATTCTTTTGGCATATTAAAAGTCAGAGCATATTGCAAAATGCATTTTACATTTCGAGAAACTGTTAACATTATTGCAAATGTTTATTTTCAACCTGTTTTATGTGTTTATCAGTGATTATTCGCCTAGAATATCTAATTTCTAATGTACATTTTATTAAGTATTTTCGTTTTGTACACAGTAGAATTCGTTCACGAAATATGTACTGATATATTTAAAATATTTTCTTCTCATTTAATGCTAAGTTCAGAGATTTCAGTACACCTTTCTTTTTTCGAATAAATACTATTTAATTGAACTACCAACCCAAAAATAAGTCATAAACAATATAGTTCTTTTTCTGCTCATTTTTCTTATGAATGTTCAGGCGTTTTGTTCAAACTCAAGAACAAGGTGAGATTGGCAATACTATTGTGAATTATATTTCTTCTTTTTTTTGCTAATCGTATATATTCTTTACAAGTATAAGCATTCAGATAGATGAACGAAATTTTTTAATAGAAAAAAAACTATGAATGCAAATCACAAATTGAAATGAACAGAGCAACAGCAACAAAAGAAAACAAGAAGAAAAACAACTAATGAGAAAAAATAAAAAATAAAAGTCTATGAACGATGTTCAAAACGATTTGTTTCACGCATGCCCATGTTCAATAATATGCTTCTCAGTGGTGATGATGGTGGTGGAAGATCAAGTACTGTTGGATTGGTTGGCATGTCTGTACATGGTTTGGAAAGTATACGAAGTGGAGATGAGAGTGACGACGGTTGTGGTGGTGGTGGTGGTGTCGACGAGACCGTTGGTGATGAAAAGCCAAAAACGGACGGGTCCAACACTATTTTTGTATCAATGGGTCTAAAACATTGGCAAAACATAGAAAAGGACGTACTATGTATTATAAAATATTAAAAAAAAAAGACTATTCAGTAATATACATATCTATTGTTGTACTTTCTTTAGAGTTAAACTAAAATCAATACAGACCCATCAGATGTGATCGAAACTTGAACTTTCGATGTTGCAATATCCTTTGATATTTCAATTAGTTGCGAGACTATTCGTTGACGACGATGACGACGACGAGAAGATCGTTGATGATGTTGTTGTTGTGTAGAATTTGGATGACCTTTTGATAGATAGATATATAGAAAAACATTTATACGTGAAATAAATTGTCGATCTTTATTTACCTGGCATATCGAGAAAATACGTGGTGATAGATTATTGAAACTAAATGTTGACGAGGGAGAGACAGAATGAGTGAATGTAATCGGCTAGAGTGTTTCTAAATAACTGATTAGGATGAATAAGTACAGGTTTATTTGTAGCAGAGAAATGTTCTAGTGTACAGTTCGATAGAAAGATCGGAAATTTATTTGCTTCTTTCGTTTCTTCATGTAACATGATCACATCAGTAATGGGAGAAAGAATATATATGAAACACGTGAGGATGTATTAGAATGTTCGGGACAAACAAATTCTATAGCAGACCTATTGACCGATGTCTAAAACAGTCTGATATCATATATGTGATGTTGTTTTGAACTTTAAATTATAAACACAAAACCCTGGATATTTTTGGACATTGTTATTACTTGTGACATACGTAGAAGAATTCTCTGGAATGTGAATAACTAACAGTCGATTGCACATGTATTCACAAAAAATATGAAAATACATAAGCAAAGGTTTCACGTAAAATTCTTCCAGAATGTTTCTTACAATCGAGCATATTTTTTTCTTGGTTTTGTTTTCAAAGATGTGTAATCAAAACTAAAAAATTCATATTCTTGCAGAAAAAACTCAATAATTGATTTATTATTTAATGAATTAACTGAATAAAATAAAATGTCGCCTATAGAGTTGAGATATAATTAGTAAAATTATGATTTTTTTCTTATCCTTTAAAATGATTAAAAAAAAATATCATATAAATTGAACTTTTATATTATATATGGAATCTTCGAGAATATTAATAGAAACGACTAATTTATTGACCTTTAACCGAAGACAGACATGTTCACTAGAGGATGAATTATCTTCTTTTGGAACGCATGCTTATCCTCGCTATTTGGAGAACGAAAATAAAAGGACATTTTCGCGAAAAAGAATATATTAGTAAAATTAGATATTTATTTTTCTCTAGATTAGCCCTCGGGTATAAATACTGTCGAATATCCAGTTTCATTTCATTTCATTCAAATCACACTCCGTTATTAGATGATATATCTATGTTTCAGCGTTCAAAGTAGATTCACTTTTGCTTGAATTAACTGTCTTCCATATAAAACTAGTATATTCATCGTATCTATCATACGTTATTTCCACGCCTATCTAATTGTTTGTCTTTCATTTATTCATACTTATTCGTCACGTGAACGTTAAAGTTTGCGGCATTCTACTATCACATTCTTATTGTTAAAAACTATTCAACATATTTTATATTCTTTTGCATAGATATACTTTACATAGTATACTATTTTTTCTCTTATTTTAAGTTAAAAAATCTTATTTCATTGAATCATTTACACGATGTTTAACACTTCATGCAACTGTGAGGCATGCACTTATTTTTATGAAAATAATAGTAATCTGATGGAGACCAACAACACATATGAACAAAGTAATATTTAAAAAAAAAATATTATTCTTGAATTACAAATGCTAACAAACACCGTATATCTTTTTGTCTTTCTATAGATGTGACTGACCAAGAAAACTATTCTGTGTGCGATGAATTCATGTCGTCTATCTTTACACACGATTATTATTATCAGGATAACAATACTTTCAATCTAGACCACTACCAATGTTTACCGGAACAATTTAATAGCGTCAATGACATTGTATACGAAATTGAAATTTCATATTTTGACAAAAAACAAATATTTTTTTTTCCTACTTTGTTATACAGGAAAACGACCATGGCTTTCATCATACAACGACGATGGTTCCGAATAAAATGTTTGGTACAGACAATGTTGACTTTCCACCTTCAATGATGGATATTACTGATGATTTTGGCAATGTACAAACACCACAATCATTTTCAAATGTCTTTCAAGATGCATTTCGTTCATCAAATTCAGCAGGTATTGTTACTAAAAAGAATACATTTCCAAATTAAAACGAAAATTTTTTTTCATGATTTCCAGATATTACTACTAACACAGCCACAGTCAATGATGGTAATTATTTGAAGGAAATTCTTGCTTAGTAGCTTTTTATTAAATTTTTCATAATGTTGTTTGACCTTTCTGTGAAACATAGATACGACAATCAACATTCTAAACCGGACATTGTTGGATATGTCGTACACAACAGACACAAATAATGGATTACGATTAACAATGATAAGGATACCATTCGAAATTTCAACATTTATCAATTGTCGCCCATATCCACCTACAAATACCATTGGACACATTGCTGAACATGATCGACCATACTCGAAATATGGACATTTAAGTACGAAGAAACTTGTTCATAATATTTAATTCCACTTAATTTACCTTTCGAAAACTTTAGCGAAAAACATGATGCTTCGGAAATTTCGTTTCGATGTTTTTGGTATTCGAACTTTGGAAAAGCGGTGCCTGAATAAGTGTCGTATGTCAAGACGAATGTATGCCATCATTTGTAATACTAATATTAGCAGTAAGAAGAATCTTTTTTTGTTGTTCAATTACTTATTCAATGATTATGAATTACTTCTTTTGTTTTTTTTTTTGTATACAATAGAAGATTATATCATCATGGAAGTCTGTCGTCAATTCCCATTGCCAATTCTACAATATATATGCATCTCAATTGATAGTGCACAAATTGCTACAACAACAACAACCGGAAATAGTATTTCTACCTTTTATATACAAATAGTATTAAGAAAAATTGTAAACAAGAAGATATGGTTTCTTGATAAAGTGACCGGTAAGTCGATTTATATAGCCTACCATGATTTGTGTATTCTAAAATATTAAAAACAATAGGTGACCAATGTAACTATGATGTAACTCATAATGATTTAGCATGGAACGAGTACATTAAAAAAGGTAAGCATCATTTTAATAGTAACGTTAGCATTACTTATAATGAATTCTATTTTCAGATCGTGTTTTCATTGAAATCGGTGATTTTCAATCAAATAAAGTTCGAACACGTCCCGGTGATTGGTCTTCCAGTGCATTTGTTCGTGCACAAAAAAAAAAAAAAAAACAAATTACCAATTGTAAAATAGTAACAAGTAGAACTTGATTATCAAATATTTTTGTATTTGTAGTTATTCTTTATTTTTGTTTTGTGTTTTTTTTTGTATTGGACGTAGTCCTGCTCCAATGTTACTGATATTCTTTGAATAAATATGTAATCCTAATTGTGGGAGATAGTCAAATAGAAATTTTACATTCGAAATAGCTGGGCAGTATTTATTTTGCATTATGGTTTTCTTTTTTTTTTCTTTTGTTGTCTACTTGATTATTTATTTTCATACATATTATACATAAATTTTTATGTATCACAAAATGAGCAAGGAGTAATCCTGATAGTATTTTAATGCTAGACAATACATTACCTAAATTATTTAATAGAAAGTCTCAAGTACTCGTGTACCTAATGTTTTTTTTTCATTGCGATATGTTGTGAAGCAAGTTGGATTGGTAGACTAAAATCGACCAGTTCAAAAGAAACTATAAACTATATTATTAGATCTCGTCACTCTGGTCATATACACAAGCCGTTTATATTTATTGGGAGAGCTGTAAGATTCTAAGTAAAATACATTAATATGCTTGACGAGTATCATGTTTTTTGAAGTTTTATTTACAATTTCTGTAGTCTTTGAGTGTGTTGGTAGAGTTTTATGATTTGTGAAGAATCTTTGTTTTTATTCACACTCTTATTATTCACAAGAACTCAGTTTTTGTAAAGAAAGAATTGCATTATTTAAAAGATAAAATATTTTATATTCAAAGTTCGACTTTATTGTGGAAATTTATTCTTCAACCTATGAAAAACCAACAAAGCTCACAGTTCCTTTAACGAAATGTACAAAACAAAAAAAATATTCATACATTTGTGTATCTTGTCACTCAACACTCATCTTTGTTTAAATGAATAAAAAAAACATTCAAAACTTGTCTTAATGTGGTTTGCAAAAAATCAAAGCTTATCATTAATAGTTTTTTTTAATTTATATTTTATATGTCCATTGTCAGTAATATTTCACCATCGATTGTACTATGCTTTTGTCTAGAGCATGAATTTTCAAAATATCTTCTATATAATTTTTTTTTCGCGTACGTTATTATATATGCCATGGTCTGTCCCTATGTACAGTGATATATATATATATATATAATGCCGTCCTCTGTCCCTATATACAGTGATATATATACTATGCCGTCCTCTGTCCCTATATACAGTGATCTATATACTATGCCGTCCTCTGTCCCTATATACAGTGATATATATACTTTGCCGTGCAATGTCTTTTTTTTTCTTCTCGTCTCCCTAATTTTAACATGCTCTCTCCTAGGACATCCCACAGCATATCACCATTTAGTATATAAAGGGGAATTCTCCATGTATTCTTTTCATTTCATCGATTATTAATTATAGCAAACAGCATCTATCTTCTCACTGTGATCTGAATTCATTACTTCAACACATTTCCAACAGTCATCCAAATTAAACTATATATATATATATATCAGGTCTGTTAAAGTTTTAGTATTTATATCTCCTCCGACTTTTCATTGTTTATTTTTGGAAAGCATCTTACTCGATTATATACCTTGTTGTGAAAGAATATGGTATCTTCGGTTAAATAAAAAAAAAAGTAGATCAATACTAAACACAAAATTTCTTATTTGTTTTTGTTTTCAATTTTTTTCAATTCATTTCTATGCTGTTGAGAACTGAATTTTCTTTACTATTTATTCTCAAGGGTGAATATAATAGTTTCAGTAAAATATCCAGTATGCTGAAAAAATGATATTTTTACCATTTTCAAATATTGTAGATTTCTATTTAATGAAAGATCATCCCACAATTTCAACGGGCATTAAAAGTCTTAATACATTCTCACGAAAATTAATCTCAATATCGAAAATTTATATTTATTTTTTTTTCTAGATTTTCATCTTCAAATTTTTACTTTGCCAACTCATTCATAATTGTTTTTTTTAAATTCAATTCTATAGTTGACAAGAACTAGAAACAATAATTTTATTGACACGATGGAAATTATTGATTTATGTACACCGCCTATCGTCATCGATGATTTATCCACGATACCAGATCCGATGTACGATGCAACAACATCTGTTGAAATGAAACAACGTTTTTTAAATCTTGATCGTCGATTATGCATTTTACCGTGCTATCCAACTTATAATGCTAATCGAGATCAGGGTCAACCGTTATTAGCAAATATTCCACGTATGTAGATAAATTTAAAAACAAAAAATTTCCTTTATTAATTAGAATAATCATAGATCATCAATTGACTCCGACGGAATTATCATATCGACGTTCTGGTGCTTTTAAACCAGCATGTACGATTGTCAATAGTCAGTCTAATATGCCATCATTTTTAAGAGCAAAATTCAATATGTTCTTTGGTGATTTACTTGAACGGTTAAAAGTTGATTTATCTATTTTGGATTATAATTATACACGTCTAAATAAATTTATGAAAATGTTAGCTTATGAACAAATACGTGCTTTTAATCTACCACCAAATGCAATACCTCAAATCGAAGAAAAAGAATATCCAGTTGTGTTGGAATTTTTTTTACAATTTGATGGTAATAATATTTTCTGACTTTTTTGTATACACATATATTTATGCTTTTCTTCTTAGTTAACATGTTCTATATGAAAACATGTTCATTTCGTTATACTCGACCACGTACATTAAATGAAGGTCTCTTTTGTTTACAAGAACCAGAAGCTCGATATGAATTGGCTGCATGTGGAAACTGTGCACTTTGTTATCCTCAATATGATATGACATACCGATTAAAGAAATCCGTGGTTGAATTTAGTCAAGCACATAAACATACCTTTCTTAATGGATATCAAGCCATTTTAAATTGTTCTGCAGTATGAATTAAGTTCACGTTCACATTTCTTTTCGTGTTTTTTTTTGTGCTTTTTAGTCATGTCATACATCGAATATTATCTATGCCTTAACTTGTCCATGTGGTAAATTTGAATATATTGGTACAACCGCCAATACTTTACATGATCGTTTAAAAAGTATAGAAATCTTTTTTTTTGTTCACTTGTTTTCGTCCTTGTACTCTAGATCTTATTTTTAGAACATCGTGAACATGGAAATCGAATTATTCATGAGTTTTTAATTGGCCAAACAAACATTCTACGAGAACTAACAAGAGGAAAACCGACAGAGTCTGCTCAATATGAAAATCATTTGCATCTACGTGTTATTTTCTTTTTTTTTTCTGTTTCAGAATTTTAGTCAAAGATCGTATGAAACTTTATCAACATTCAGCAAGATGTCCAGTCGCCATGCAAATCTTTTTGGATGCTAATCAACAATATTGGCGATTTGTTCCAATGTCATTAGAAGAGTCACAAAGACCTGAACAACAAATGGTACAAAGTCTTGTGATTTCTGATGAACCGAGTCATCATGCACGAACAAGACGTGACTGTGAAATTTGTGTTGATGCTGTACCAAAACCATCGAAAGGATACATATTCTCAAATCGGCAAATCATGTTACAAACACAATATTTTCATAAGTTACAAGATAAAACATTGCCAAATCTTAATATTGATTTATACAATGCTACTATTGTTGCTGTTCGTAAGTATACAAAAAAATATCAAAATATATTTATTTTATTTTTTTATTTCTTATTCTAGTACCTGAAACAAGTTCTGATATGTTTCGTTATACAATTGAATCCTTATTCATTACATATGCTGAAACCAATCTCAATACAGTTGGAAATGTTTTGAATGACAATCCAAATGGAGAACAATATCCAATGAATGATCCTTGGTTTGTCCGAAGTAGTAATTGGTGTCAAGGATTATTACGTCGACCTCAACCAAAAAATACACAAGCGAAATAGAAAGTATAAAGATTCTTTTTTTTTTTCATTTCCTTGCTCTAGGACAGTTTTTTTTGTATTTCTTCTTAATGAAACATTGAAATTTGTATAATCAAAAGTTTTTCATTACTTTTTTTTTGTTGCATTGTGAATATTCACTACTACTTTGAAATCTAAGAGTACATTTTTTTTTGAAGAATATATTTCTGTTGATTCTAGATATTTGTTTCATTCATGACTGATATTAATTCCACACAGGATATTCGTATGGATCAAGATGATGATAAAATACAACAGTAAATGGTGAGAAACATTATAATGTCACTGACTGAATGTACGTTTTCTTTTTTTTTCCATAGAAATACCGAGCAATGTTCGATTATTCATTGTCACAACCGATTCGTGAACAAAAACCTGAATGGTCTTCAAAACGACTTGCTAAACTTCAAGAAAGACGACCCATTAAAGATCCAGTATTTGTGTTTCTTCATCCTTCGCATACAATCCACTACGGAAATCCGGATAACATGACAAATTTTAAACCTAAATGAACATGAAACTCGTCATTATGCCTTACTATACATGTATTTTTGTTTTTTTTCCTGAACATAGTGTCCATACAATGGAACTGTTTTCAATAAAAAGATGTCGTGTTTATTATTTTGTAACCATTTCAAATGATGAAAAATGTTTTTGATTTCTTTTTTAGATATCTGCATCTATTTATAAATATGTCTTCATCGCACAATCGTTCTTCAAGTACACGTCCATCTCGACCTACACAAACTGTTGCACCATTAGACATACAACGATCAGCAAGTGTTCCAAATCGTCAATTTATTATTATTCTTACAAATAATCCTGAACTGTTACGACAAACTCGTCAATTTCAACCTCAAGTATGTAATTTAACATTCATTGATATGATTTTTTTTATAAATACCTGTAGTGATAGAATGAATATATTTAACAATTTCTTACTCTTCATTGTTTTTAGATACAACGAGATACACAAAGACAGGCAAGTGCTGCGTCGAATGGTAGATCAACTAATCGAGC